AGAGTTGATCAGGTTGTTGATTGCGGCCTGTGGAATGTTGGTCCACTCCTCTTCAATAGCTGTGCGAAGTTGCTGAATATTGGCAGGAACTGGAACACGCTGTCGTATACGCCGATCCAGAGCATCCCAAACATGCTCAATGGGTGACATGTCCGGTGAGTATGCTGGCCATGCAAGAACTGGGATGGGAGCAAAAACAAGAGTGTTGCGTTTATATGTTTGTTCAGTGTACATTTGCCTCCCCTCATTCTATAAACCCCTGCTCATCTTCTAAAGCAGTAGCATTTAATCTGTAATTATGGTCTTCCGGGGGTTTGAAACATTTCTCATGACTATACCAGTTTCCCAGGGATGTAATGTATGTGAATGATGAACAGCGGAGCCAACTAGCGCTAGGTCTGTCTGTTTATTTGAAACATAGTATGGTATACAATTGTCATTTATTTGACCTCCATCTGTAGGTTGCAATCTATAGAGCAGCATTCTAATTGTGTACACGTGTCAACATAATAATTTAATCAATTCTCCCAATCAGGAAGCGATTCCATTGACACATTTCCTGTTGGGGTAGAGCGTGCAAATAGCTGAGAGCCAGCTGCCGGACCCTCTTGTGAGCCTTGCTGTCACGCCATGGGCTGTAAGAACATCAGATAAGAGGGTGACAATTTGCAAGTATTTCACGGTTTTAACAGTTAGTTACAAAGAGCATTGCTAATCTAAGACTTATCTGGGCAGGGATGTTAAAAGGAGCAGTTATTAAAATAAGTTTTAAAAAAAAAACTTTTCATAGCACATTTAAAAATATAAAAAAATATATTTTAACACATTCACTAAATTAAATTGTTAAACTGCTCAACAGGAGAAACTAAACTGCTGACTTACTGTGAAAGATGACTACAACGGACTGAATAACAGATGTCCTTTGCTTTCCAACTTAGTGAACAAAATTTGAAAATGATTGCATGCTCATGCATGCGTTCGCTCAGCAAGTTTGTGCCGAACTCACTTTGACTCTGAAAGTTAACTGTGAAGCTCGATTATTCTCGTATTCGAGCCGCACCATGCGCAGAGCTGCAAAAGGTTTCTGACTGCAAGCTGATCTGCTGACGCGCAGGCAGATCCAGCTGGAATCAAATGCTGTATGGGAATGTACACTGTACTTTATTATTATTGTATTTAATGTTGGCAATTTCTAACTGTAATTTATTAAACATTTCCATGTGTATATACATAAAATCATGCTATATATGTGGTCTGTTGGATTGTTCTCTATTATCTGCGGTTTCAACTATCTGGGGTAGATCTTGCAATGTATCACTCACAAATACTGTAGTAAAACATGGCCACGGTATACAGTATATGGACAAACATATCGCAACACCTGGCCATTACATCTACAAGAACTTTAATGACATCCCATGCAAAATGGCTGGACAAAACGGTGGACACAGGAGTGGACATGAAGGCAACAAAACGGTTACCAAGGGAACTAGCAAACATAAGGATCATTGTGGATCAAAAACGGAAGGCC